GGGGGGGGGGGGCACCTCCCCTAAGAAGTCTGAGCCCCCGGTTACCGGTGAGCTGAAGATCTCCTTCTCGTTGAAGATTAGATGCAGCTCAGCGGCGGGAGATAACTTTTCCACTTCCAGCCACAGGCGCACCTCTCCTTGTTCGAGGATGTCAACGTTCCAGCCAGAGATCAGCTTGATCACTGGAAGGCGGAGGACACGAAGGGGGTGGGTGGGGCACCCGGTGGGGCACCCGTCTCCCCTCTCCACTCCCGACCAGCCCCACCGTGAGCACACCCTGGCCATTGAACAGGCAAAGCGCTTCAAGAGTCTGAGGGCCACGCCGCTGGGATGGGGGTCCGGGAACGGTTTCCACATTCAGTCCCTCTAGATGCAATTCATCTCAGAGAAGCGTCCCGTCTCCCTAGGGATCTGAGGCCATGGTTCTCACCCTGGCCGGGCACGGGATCCCTGAGGATTTTTTAAATTTTTTTTTTAATTTTTTTTAACGTTTATTTATTTTTGAGACAGAGAGAGACAGAGCATGAATGGGGGAGGGGCAGAGAGAGAGGGAGACACAGAATCGGAAGCAGGCTCCAGGCTCTGAGCCATCAGCCCAGAGCCCGACGCGGGGCTCGAACTCACAGACCGCGAGCTCGTGACCTGAGCTGAAGTCGGAGGCTTAACCGACCGAGCCACCCAGGCGCCCCACCCTGAGGATTTTTAAAAAGGCGAATGTCTGGCTCCAGCCCCAGAGGTTCTGATTTGTCTAGGGCACGGCCTGGACACTGGGGCTTTAAAAGTTATCAGGGTGACTCCTAGGTGCACCCAGGTGTGTGACCCCTGCTCCGGGGACCACACGCTACTGCTAAGCAACGGAAGAGGGCGGAGGTTGAGATGATCCAAAGTCCACAGGACGGAAGAGCCAATTATAACAATTACAAGAGGACGAAGCCATCTACTCTGCCCTCCTTTGCATTCCATTCCCTTCCCGCCCTGCTGGCCGCCCTTTTCTCCTTTGCGGACCGCAGACTCCCCAGGCCTCTAACCCTGCAGCCCCGTGATGCTCCCGTCCTCTGTCCCCTCTGCTGGGCCCCAGTCAGCTCTGCTCCAGACACCCCCGAGGGCCCAGCCTACCTGGGTTTCTGATCTCATGGCTCAACTTCTTCAGCTTGTTCAACTCTGGGACCGGGAGGCGCAAGGAGAAACAAAACAAAACAAGGAGAGTGAAGTGCCCGGGGCCAGTGGGTTCATGGGAGCCATCCTATAGCGTCCCGTGCTGGGTGAAAGTCCCAAGAGACCCCCACCCCCCCAGCCTGGAGTCACTCGCTACACAGGAGGTGAGGGTGAGGGACAGTGTTGCAGGCCACCTGAGGCATGCTACCTCCTCGGGGAAGTTTTACCCTGTGCCGGGCTCCGCGTGCCCTCACCCGTCCTCACACAGCGCTGTGGGGTGAGCACTACTGTCCCCTCTGACCGCTACAGGCCCACTGGTGGCCGGGGTGGGGCCCACACTTCATTTTCCCTTGTAAGCCCCAGAGCCCTGAGTATGGTGAGTCTCGACTCATGGCAAAGTGAAAACAAACGTGGCTTTCGTTTGCAGACAGTCAATCACCTGACTGTATCCGCATAACATTGTTTCTGCTGGGACAGCCCCGGGGATTATAATCTCCCTTTGCAGACGAGCCAACCGAGGTCCAGAGAGGCGACGTGGCTTGCTCCACATCAAGCAGCCGGCAGATTCTGGAAGTGGACTCGGAACCTGAGCCTGTGTGGCTTCTGCATCTTAACAAAATCAGAGGGCCTCACGAGCAAGCGCTCAGCCGGGGAGACGGCGGCCCGTCGCCCCTCGTACTCTGGGGACAGCGGAGCCGGAGACTTGTCCGTCAACAGCACTGGCTCCAGTTCTGTCTAAGCCATCAAACGTGGCTGACCCTTGAGACACAGCATCCCCTCTCTGGTTTGCCACAGTCCCCGCTGCTCCCTATCGTCCTGGTTCCTCAGACCAGCGGCCATTTGCAATTTGCCCTCACCCTGCACTGTGGTATTTCTGGGGCGACAGAAGGAGGTGAAATAATTCTGGTACCTTTGCTTTGTATCAAAAGTAGAAAAGGGAAAGAGAGACAAGAAGAACGTGAACTCTGCCGAGCAGGGATTTTTGACTGTTGAGTTCGCAGTGCCCAGGACAGTGTCTGGAGTATGGCGGGTGCTCCACAGATACTCGTCAATGGACTGGCTGACTGAATGGGTGGGTGACGGCCTACTTCTCCGGAAATCGCTGCTTTATCAGTTTTTGTTGCTCCTTGCCAGCCTCTGGGGACATTTGTGTTCGGGACTCTTGATGTGGGCCTGTCTCTCTGGGGGAGGTGGCAGTGGGGCAGGGGCATTACCTTCCTCAGTCAGCGTGTGGCTGGCCGAGATGTCTTCGTCAGCATCGGTGACCACTACTGAGTAGGTGCCCAAATCCTCAAGGCCAGGCTCTTTCAGGATGACCTTGGACCTGGCGGAGAGAGGAGAGCAGAGACTCGGTGAGGAGCCTTGTGCCCTGGAGGCCTGAGAACTGCAAGCCCGGCACCCCAGCCCCACCCCTGGCCACGC